GATTTGGGTGGATGATAAGGTCCACCAGTGGATCAAACTGCTGATGGTTTCACAGCAGAACTGCTGTTTTAGGAGGTGGTTGGAAGAGCTGAGTCACAGTGGATGTGACATGGAAGTGTGCGTTCCTGTCCCAGCTCCTCATCCCTCTGCTGCCTTGCCCCTCCACCACGCCTCTCTACCAGACCTGTCTGCCTTCCAGCAAGCAACCCAAACGTGGACTAAATCCTTTGAATCCCTGAGCAACAGTACACCTCTCCTTTCCTAAGTTGTAGATATTTAGTATTTTGTCCTAGTGAATGGAAAGCAACCTATATACTACAACTGAAGGAAATCAAACTTTCCAGAATAACTGGGTGATTCTTATATCCAATGCTTTTGACCATAGATATAGGGAGAGACGGCAGGGATGGGAGAGGTTGTGCTCTTCGTGGGAATGCTGTCTCCTTTTACTTCCTTCTTTTGCTTAGTTTTCACCTGGTTCTGAGAGTTTGTGCTACACAGAAACTGGGGTTTTCTTCCTAACCAACTATGCCGTCTTTTATTACTTCCCTATACATGCTAAGCATCTAATATTGGTATATCTTAGTTCACAGTGGAGTTCTGTAGTCCATACCCACTTAGAGCTTGGTTTTAATTTATATGTCATAGTTATTGACTTAATATTTGCCATGAGCTACTAGCTTTTTGAACATCTTTTGAGAAAAAGGGTAAACACTGGAACCCGCTGTGCCTGTGTTGTGTTTCCAGCACTGCTCAGCAAAATGGAGAGGTGACAGTGACCCTAACAGCTGTGTCCCATAACTCTCATAATGCATTAACACAGCTACAGAGTGGGAACAAACTCTGACTCATGCGATTTGAACAGCTCATGGTACACATTAGGTTTTTGACTTCTATTCCTTTGGAGCCTAGTTTTTTCTTATCGCCTACCATTCTGCTAGCAAATAGTGAAAGAAACATAAAGAGTTGTGTATAATCCTCCTTCTACTGTTGTACAGCAGGTTGTTCCTAAATGCAGGAACATTTCTATCAATGTCGCTATTGACAATAATTTTATCTAGGAAGCTATCCAGAAAAAATAATAGCTGAAAATCATGATAATATCATTCCTTTATTCATGCCTCTACTAACACCAAATCTTAAGGTAGATTTGTGAGGAGAAACAACAGTTATCTAAATCAGAAAGTCTTTTTTGACTTTGCTAATTATTTTATTTATAATATAAGATATTTATAAATGCCTTTCCTATCTTATTGATTGATGATACTTGTAAATTATTATGGCAGAAAGTGCTTTGTAAATAATAAAATAGTATGCAAACATGAGAAATCATTATGAATAAAGAATGCAAGATATTGGAGGCTTGTTTCTTTTTCGTCTTCTTCCCCAGCCAGAAAAATACATCCGAATCTTAAATTTGCCATCCAGGAAAAGATACCGTATAAAACAGAACTAAGGTCCCTTCTAGTACTAACATTAGATCAGTCGGAGAGGGTTGGACATTTCATCTAGGATATTTTAAGGGAATAAAGTACTTTCCTAATCAAATAACTTTCAAAAGAGAACTTTTTCCATGAGTCATTTCACAGTTGAGGGATGTCTTCTAATTTTATTTTCAGCCATCACCAATCAACCACTGGAGGAAGGAAAATAATTCAAGGAAAAACTTTTTTAAAAGTCTTAATAATTCAGCCTAGCAGAAAAATGGCTATGCTTTAGGGAAATAACTAATTTCCATAAGATTTGTGTATGTGAGCTATCTACTACATAGAGATCATTTAAGAGGCAAATGCAAAGGAATAATTTGCCAGAAAAGTGTACAAATGGGACATTAGGGCTACTTCTCTAAGGGGTTATTATCCTTGCTGCGGAAGACCCGGCCTCACGCTTTCTTTCCCTGAGCTGAGCTGAACAGGCTCTGAGGGCACAGTGAGCAATGACCCCTAAGTTCGTGGTCAAGGATCTGGTAAGGAAGGGGAAAGGGCTGAAGAAGCGTGATGCAAAAATTCCCGTAAGAAACAAGCTAGATACTGGTTATGCCACCTGTTCGTCTTCTGTTCTTCAGAGGATATCTTCAATACCAATGTTGTTTTACCAGCGCATGCACGCAGCACATGCCCTTTACAGTCGTCTTGGAGAGTGGGTTCAAGCACTGACACAGTTTTTGGTTCTTTTTCAAATGCCCCTCCTCTTCCCTCCTGCTGGAAACCTCCCTTTCCCTTTTCATTCTTGTTGATATTAATCTTGATTAGTGTCAGCGGCATATAATGTTCATATTCACTGCGGTTACGAGGTTCCTGTAGGTGGCGCACCATCCTCCTACTTATTTCTCCTCCGTCCTGTGGTCTCTTAGATCCTTTCCTGTTTGCAAGAGATCGACCCTTGTCTCCTTTTAGCATCCTTTAATTTGCCCTCTGTGCTTTGCCTTTCTCAAATAAGAGTTACTCTGGTATTTTTGCTCGTGTTTCTGACTTATTTCATTCAACATTATGTTTTCAACACATGTCTAGTTTCTTATAATGTCTCAAATTAGTCCTTCTTTACATCCAAACAGTATTCCCTTCGGTATAGACACCACGTTTTCTGTATCCAGTCATCAGTTGGTGGGTATGCAGGCGGCTTTCAGGATTGGGCTGTTATGAATCATGCTACCATAAACATTGGTGTGCATGTATCGTTATCCTATGATATTCTTAATTCTTTCAAGAAGAAGGATTTCTGGGTCATATGGATTTTCTAATTTTACCACTTTGAGAAATTTCCATAATGGTTGTATTTTTTAAAGATTCATATTTTCTATGCATCAGTAACTGAAAAATGGGAACCAAAATAAAGCTTTTCTCAAAAAACAAGATTAAAAAGTGGCAAAAGTTAAGTCCTAGAATTTACCGAGAAGTGCTTTATATATATATATTTTTTAATTTTGAGGGGAGGGATTGAGAAGATTCTACTATGTAACTCAGGCTGGTGTTAAACTCAGGGTGATTTCCCTGCCTCAGCCTTTGAGTGCTGGGATTATGAAGTGCTTTCATAATAGTGTCATTTCTATTCAAATGTTTTTGTATCTCTTCTTCTGAAACAAATTTGGGGATGTCATAAATTGTAAATGAGTTTATTGTCAACTGTTTGTGTTCTCTGCAGACTTACAGAAAGCTGTCACTTTGAGGTGATGGTACCCAGGATTCAGGAAATGTAGACTCTATTCCAGATCAACTGAGAGCACTTAAACTCTCCTGTCTCCATGCTTCACACCTACTCACTTAAATGTGATATTCACTGTGTAAATATTAACAGAGATTCTAGAGCTTTCTCTCAGTCTGTTTAATCATGAGCCCCTAGCCAAGCACTGCAAATATAATATCTGAGTTTCTTCAAGTTTTCTCTTAACTTCAAGGATCCTTGGGAAATCTGGCTCAGGAGAATCCTTAGTCCCCCGAGTTCTTTATTTCTTCAGGGATCATCCATAGTGAAAGAACTATTTTGATCCAAGTCCCCAGTCTTCTGTCTTAAAATATCAGACTTGGAAAAAGAAGGAATGACATCTTATCAAGAACTTTGATCTTGATACAACCAAGGAATATAATGCAAGTTTTGTGAGACATGTAGACAGTATTTTGAGGAATAAAAAGTCTACCAAATAAACTGTGTTGTTTTGGTTTTGTCATGGTTAACTCTCTATTTCCATCTGTTGTAGGGCAAAGAAACACAGGCTGCCTGTATAGTGTCTATCAGTGTGCTCTCTCCAGTTTTAATCATTTCAACTAACTTGAAATTCTAATAAATCTATGTAATTTTGTTCAAAGTTATCACATAATATCTATTTTAGCATTAGAAATATTAAAATGTTCTTTAGGGCCTCTTACATTATCATTAATAAGCCTAAAGAATGTCTGCTCAAAATTATCCTTATGTTTCCCTAAAGGTGAGAAATTTAACTATCTTCTGATATCCAATGGAAAGGCTGAAGTAGATAATTGGAATATATTCATAATAGAACGAAAAATAAGTATGAGGATGAAACTGAGATATTCAGGCTTTATTCATTTTTAATTAGACTACACACCTCCAGGTGAAACAGATTTTCCTGGTTACATTTGATGGGGGTGTTAATGCATTCGTAACTCATGATGAGCCAAGAGAGTATTTTAGAGAAATGCTGAAATCATCCCCAGTAAAACTTGAAAACTTGAAGACTCCTGTGATTTGAACAGTCTTCTTTTAGAATTCCTGCCTCTAACCATATGGGTTACTGAGTAATATATATATTTTTATGAAGGTAGCATATACCATATACCACTGCAGCTTTGGTAAAAATGAAGTGACTAACATTTCACAGTCACAGAGGAGCAGTAATGGGAACCTCTGTTTTCAGCTCTGAGGCAGAGGTTCTGTGACCCCAAGTGGCCCCTCAGCCTCCTTCAGAATCAGTTTCTGTCCCTGTCACATGAAGAGTTGGATTGGCTTTGCTTGGAACCCTTGGGAACTCTCGAATGTCCCTTCCAGGTCATCTTACTGAGAGTTACAGTTCTCTGGAGCTTATCATCCAGGTGTCTTTATTCTGACATCACACTTTTTGTTTTCTGGAGCTTAAAATTGTTTTGACAAGATATGTACACCTTGCTACAGTTTATTTCATTGATTTATCTAGTCTTTTACTCAAGTTAATAGAGTTTTATCAGAAACTTGCTTTGCATCAAGAACAAAGCCAGAAGTTACATTTTGAGGATTGATAAAGCCACAAGAGCTCTCTTCAACATGTTTAGGAATAATGGATTCAAACTCAAGCACAAGTAATTAAAGTCTAATGTGGTAAGTGCCTTGACAGGCATGCCCAAACAAGGGATCTGCATGAGAGACAAAAACAGAAGGTACAGAAAAAGCTCTTAGAGGACAAAATCAGCTAGATGAAGAAAAGATAAAATGTGTAATAGTCATCATTCCTATCACAGGATGCACTCAGCATTCACAGCTCAAAAATGGACAGGTTTATTTTGACTCACAGTTTCAGGAGATGCAGTTCAGGGTCAGCGGATTCCAAGTCAGGAACATCATAGCAAAAGGACACGGGGTTGGCAAAGATCATGTTTGGTTCACATCATCTGGAAAGCAGAGCAGGGAAACAAAATTGTCAGAGAGGAGGGGGCCAAGGACCAGATATGGTACCCAAGATTACACCTTTATGACACACCCAGCAGTGTGCTTTCCTCCAGCAGCTGCCAAGCCAACCAAGTGGACATTTCACATTAGCCATTACATTGTACTGTGGGCACAGTTACGCGGATGTGGAAGTACATGGGATGCAGCTCATTGAAACTGAAAAATAAGGGATCTGATGGATGGAATAGAATGGGTTGCATAATGAGAAGTGAGTCATGAGGTGTGACATCTGAAGTTTGAGAATGAATTTGGATCTGGGATGAAATGAAACTTAAAAACTTGGAAATTATGAGTACTGGGGTGTTGAGCTGGGTTTGGGCTTAGATGAAGCATATTGATTACAGAAGAAAATTGAAAGATGGACAAAAGAGAAAGAAGAGAAGTGGTCTGTTGGCAAGGTGGTCAGTTAAGAAGCGTTTGCTGAAATTTGAGGGAGGGTTGAAATATAAAAAGCTATAGAAAAACATAGCCTGAAGTCATTTGAGAGACAGGAAAGAAAAATGATAAGTAGGACAGAAGGACACTGCAGTGTCCTTAGGATCCAAAACTTGGTCTCATAACCCTTTATAAATCAGAGCAAGTGTGTTCAGCTTGCAGATGTCCACAGCCTCACTCTGCATCTTTCCCTATAAAGCAGTGAGACAAAAATTCTTTACTAAACAAAACTATCCCAAACCCTATTCATTACAGTGTGTAATGAAATGTTACAAATAGGTTACAAGGGAAAACCATAAGTGACCACAAATCCAAGGAGAATCAACTCTTCTTTCCAGATTATATTCATCTTTAATAGAAGAAAGTAATAGGTTCACACATTCCTGGCAGCTTTAGGTATGGCTTCTGCTGATCAATAGTATTTATTTCTAGAGAGAAAGAAAGGCTGTTGAGGGTTGTCAGAGCAGCACTTTGACGCTAAAGCTTGTAAGTAATGACATAGTGTGGTGGGTAATGAAGATTTGATAAAGAAACAGCCTAGCAAGCTGTCTTTAACACTGAATATCAAACTGTGTGCCTCTCCTCCAGATCCTATTAACACCTCTCATTCTAACAACTGGGCTTTGGGTTTCTTGTCATCTCAAAGTAAAGAAAGAGAGAGAAAGAGGTGGGGAGGAAAAGGGAGTAGGAGAGAGGGGGGAGAGAGAGAGAGAGAGAGAACTATTTATTGTTCCCTTGTTTACAATTTTAAATAACATTCAAAGCTTTGAATTTGGAAAAGAAAGTTCTGTCAGAGGCAGATTTCACCTAACAGGAGGTTGAACTTATGAATAACCAGAGCTGCCCTCAGTGGAGTGGGCTGTCTTGGAGTAACGGGGCAGTGATTTTCTTATTTATGACCTTGTACCAGGCAAGAGCAGACAAACATCATGTAGTAGAATTTTGTTGAAATTGTGGCAAATTTTGTTGAAATTAACTCTGAACGTCCCTCATAAATCCAAACTTCTCTTTCCATACATTCTACTACATCTTTGGATTTTGTCACTAAAAATACTTAAATAGACTTCACAGAGATGTTCACAATACACAAAATATAAAAATAGAGGCAAAATAAGCAGTAACAGAAGAGGATAGTAAAAACTTTCAAATTCAGAAAGCTAACCATAAATGCTATGGTTACATAAATTACTTAATATGATTCTTTTTTTTTTTTTCTTTGTGTGTACCTTGTAGTGACCAAAGCAAATTGACTTTTAAGATTTTAGTGACCAGAGACCATGCAGAGTCCAGGGAAAGAGAAGCCAGTCCACTGTTTCTTTGAGTCTGCAGAGGCCATGCCAAGTCTGGGAAGAGCACATCAAGAATCTAGTTTGATCTTCCTGTGAGCCACATAAATCAAGCAGGGAGGAAAAGAGAAGCCAGGTCACCTTTCCTATGAGCCGGCAGGCACATGGGCTGAGAATCAAGACCCTCCAGCCACCCACCCACCCCCCATTAGCAACCAGCTGGTTCATAGAACAGGCTGAGTTGATAGAAACTGAGGTATAAAAACAACTAAATGCTTGTATTGTTTGATTGACTTTGCAGGACTAAAGCCAGCAGTTTAAGCATATATTTGGAGGATAACAGTATGCAATATAGCAATATGGGGGATTTCCTTCTGTCGTGTTTTGGAAATCCAATATTATTCTCACTGTTTTGTTTCATTCTGATTTATTGTTTTACTTAATTCAATGTTCTGTTTTTGTTGGTTTTATTGTTTTGTTTTATTTGATTTTAGTGTGTCTGAGAAAATGAACAGCTATTGTGAGGATATACTATGGTGGCATTATTGATGATCCATTGTCCTGTTCTAAAGTTATGTATCACTTTCACTGCTTTGTTTTGATTGGCTTTATTCTGTTTTGTACTGTTAAAATAAAAAAAATTTAAATATTTTAGTCACCAAATTAAAGAGACAAGTATGAACACAGTGTCACAATTCAGTCTTACTGTGCAAAGAATAAGCTAGTTCCTTAGAAAAAGCAACATATTTTTTGGTTTGAACCTCTGAAATTAATTTCAGGAGTATTTATCAACAGTAAATTTTGTGATTTGGCAGGTCATATGTTCAAAATATTCTGACATCTATTTATGCATAATAATTTTCATATGAATAAGATTTCAAATGAAAACATTCTTGTCATGATGTGATCTATCCTAAAAGTAACTTCTCACTGAGTTATCTTTCTAGCATAAAAAGAACCAGCACATAGCAGGTTTATAATATTTTTCTATGCAAGTTATTCTTTAAGTAAATAAACAGAGACATGAACGAATGCATGAATAAATATTCTTGGTGATTCCAGTTTTCTTGCCACTAAGTTTTGTTTTGGTGGTGAGTGATTGCAAGTCCTTCTTACTGTTGTGATAAAATACATCCCATAAAAGACTTATTATGCTTGAGGTTTGGTTACTGGGCTCCTGGGAGTGGATTGACCATAAAAGCTCTAAGTGAAGCAGTAAAATAATCCACTAATGAATGAATAATTTGATGGATCCAAAAGGGAGTGAAGGTAACAGGAGATAGGGTTCAGTTAAAAGGAGAAGATCATGGAGGGGGGACTTTGAGGACTAGATCTGGCCCTGGCCCTTTTCCGATGGTGCCTTTCCTTTTGCTCTGCTTTTTGGCTACCATGACATTAAAAGTGTCCTCTGTCCAACCATGTTGCTTCTCCTCACCCCAGGTCCAAAAAGCAATGGATAAAACCGCCATGGGCTGAATCCCCCCAAAGCCGTGAACCAAAACAAAGCTTTCCTCAGGTAATCCTTCAGGTTGTTGTCACTGACAGAATGCTGACTAATGCAATTTTCATTGCTTTTTATTATGTATGTTTATCCTATACTACTAGAGCAATAATCTGAATTATTGCAAATTTGAAGTACTTGGCCTTATAAGTACACCACTTTGCAGTCTAATAGTCTCCTGCCTCTTACAAATAGAGCTGATTTTCTGTTTTGTATAGAACTGGTCCAAAAACAGCTAAGATTTCACAGCCTTCTTATAAAGTATTTAAAAGGACAATAGCAAAAGCCCAAAGAAAATACCATCCTGAAGAAAATTCTAAATGAAAACAGTCTCAATGCTTCAATGTTAGCATTTACCACCACTGTATCTTTGGATGAAAATATTCATCTGAGTTTGCTTTCTCACCTCTGCAAAGTCAGTTCAACACTGCTCTCCACTTGGTTGTAAGACTAAAATAGTGCAAACCAAAATATTTTTTGAATCCATACGACAGGTAAAGAGTTATTTTTTTCTGTGGTTTCTATAAGAAACAAAAACAACTTTAAAATTCATTACAAATCATTAGACACAATGCCTTGGAAATACATATATAGTATTTTTTTACTTGTCTACAGACATCTCCTTAGTAATCTCAGAGGTCCAATAGAAAGGTAAAATAAGAACAGAGGTGCTGCTAATGTTCTCTATCTTTATGAGGATTTCTGAGGAAAAAATAGTATTTTCTAGGGATAGATAGGTCCTGAAACAAAAACACCTAGGATTCTGGTTTTAGACATTAGTAAAGTATTGAGTAGCAAAGGCTAGAGGGAGAAGAAATGTCTAAGAGAAAAAAATAAATTAGGGCAATAGGATGTGGAGGTTTTACTGCTAACTGTCCTGGAAACTGCAGTTGCACAAATAGAGAGAACTTGCAATTTGCCAGGAATCTTTTCTGCAAAACAAATATATTTAATCAAGGATATTAGGAATAAAAGATAAGTTGCCAGTTTTGTAGGTTTTTAAATCTCCCATAGACCAGAAACAATGACATTTCCCTTAGGAAATCTTTCTCGAAGCCAGAAATTGTGTTTCCTATCTTGCTTTTGAAACACAGAAATTTTTTTAATCCCTATCCAAAAACTTCTGCTAAATATTGTCATTTCTTTAGATATTGGTAAGTTATTTTCTCTTGTTCATTTGCATTAAAAAGCCACTTTTATAGCAACATTCCTATTGCATTCTAGGCATCACACCTAGGAAGAGAAGGGACAAATGGTCCAGGAGGACATAGAGGTATCGACCCATTTGCATAATCACTATGTAAGGTGCACAACAGGTTATTGTAAAGGTCACTTCTCACTATGGTAGTGAGAGATCTTGATATGTTATCCCAAAGAAGTATCACAGTATACAAAATGCACAAAACAAAGTGGTATTCCAAGAAGTTAGTGCAGGAGTAGAAAATTTCAGGGAGAAAATGATCAGCCTTAGGACAGGTGAGCAATGAAAAACACCTATGAGTAATTTAAAATTACAAGAAAATTGGATGAAAACTACTGAAAAAAAGGATGAGAAATCAAGATCGGGGCACGTAATAGAGGCTTTGAATGTTGCGCTCAAAAATTTAGATTTTATCATTACTCTATGATGCAGAAGAATGTGATGAATTGAAAGAAAACTGATTCACCTTATGAACCATTGAAAATGTGCCAGAAGATTACAAATGGGGTGTGGGGGAGGCAGTAGACCAATTATAAGGCAATTACAATACAGAGGTATGAGGTTGGAGATGGCCATGTCTACATATAATAGTTGTTACATAGAATCTCTATGGCAGGTAACAAACTAGATTGATTCTAGAGGCCTGTATGAAATAGAAAACGTGCATGGACAACTAAACCTCTGCACAGGAGCTGGATTTATTCTTGATGTCAGTCACAGAGACAGAAGGTACCACAGGGCATGCAGAGTGGAGAAAGAGCACACCTTCCACATGGAGAAGCAGATCTGAAGTTCTAGGAAGCACTCAAGTGCTGCTGTCTGCTAAGCACCTTAGGCCCAGGGTTCAAGGTGTTGAGCTGAGAAAAGAGACTTGAGAACCAGCATTTGGCTGAATGTTATGGTTTATATCTAGATGAGTCCCAAAGCCTCTTGGCTCATAGGTGGGCCTTTTATGAGATGACTGGATCATGGACACCAGATCCATCGACTGACGGACTTATGCTGAGTATGATGTTGGGAGGTGAAGCCTAGTGGGAAAAGGTAGGTCACGGTAGGCAAATATATGTGTTGTTCTTTGATGCCCCTCTGCTTCCTGACTGTCCTGCCATGGACTGTTTGCTATTCCTCCCTTCCCTTAGAACTAGCTGACCATGTGCTCAAAACTCTACAAACTGTGAGCTAAAATAAACAATAAGTGCCAAGACAGGGTTCTGGAGTATAAAGTGCTAAAATTAAAATAAAGAAGAGGAAACAAAGGCTTCAAGTTCAAGACCAAATAATCAGAAGAAATATGACAGAATGATTCAAGAAGATATTGAAGGAATGACCAATCAAGAAGAGCAGCCAGTGAAAGAAGCCGAAGAGGAAAGAAGGGTGTAAGGAGCTGTGCAGGACCCAGTGACTGGCAAACACAGGTCAGCAAGCCCAGTTTTACACGGGCATTCTCGTGCTGGTGAGGTCAAACTGCAGACTAATGAATACTGAATAGCATTTTGGAAGTGGAAACAATCATAATCCCAGAAATCTGTGTGGAAGGGACCAGATCAAGACCAGCCTTTAGCTTACCTGACTTTGAGAGATCCTGTTTGAATTTTTTAGAAAATTTAAAGTTGCAGAGGTGGAGAAATAGTTTAGTGCAAAGGCCCGAAGTTTAATTTCCAGTGCGATGAAAAATTAATTAATTACTTGGAAATAACTTTGAATAGTGTCACTGCTTTACTCTGACGTTTTGTCTCAAGACGTTTGGAAACAATACTTCACCTCTTTTTGTTGCCATGGGTGATGGGGTTCTGGAACACGTTTTCAAGTTCCAGTGCTCAAAAAAGAATTGGATCTAGCACAGGACAATAAAGAAAAAGCATCTGTGTTCAGCGATGTTTAAAGAATGAGGTTTGCTCAGAGTGATGGGCTTCCACTACAGAAACGCAGATGGCACAAAAGCTAAATGTGTTGGGTTCAAGGAACTCAAAAGTTGTGCTGAGCCTAGCGCGCCTCTATCGGTTCTTTCAGAGCATATTGGCAGCGTGATTGACATGGCCTGGGGCCTGGCAGCCGTGTCTGCTGCGCATGACCTTTCCCACAATTCCGTCTGTTATAATTGGTTTTATGAGATGTGGTCCATGTGCATGAACCTTTAAGGAGCAGATGGTGAGAAAAGCTCGTTATAGGCCAGGCTATGTAGTGGGTATCAGGACAGAGGTCAGGGAGCTTAGACCTGGGGCACTGGTCAGGTTCCTGTGAGTGGAGGGGAGCGATCCTGGAACCACTATTTTACTGTGTTATTTTTACTTTGAATACCAGGACTATTTCTTAGCCTATATTATAAATTAGAAAATATTTGTTGCTTTTAATGAGTTTTACACTTTAAAATGAGTATAAATGATGTCCCGAGATATTTAAATCAATACTTATTACTTTATTGAATGAGGTAGGAGAATAACCTACAGTTTTTAGAAAGTCACTCTCACATCAGCTTCTTTAATGGCATCTATATTGTGATTACAGTAGCTGCTACAACTCTATAATTATAAGATTTATCTACAATGAAATTATTATCATTGACCGAATACATAGAACTGCTTGCAGAGAACTCCCACATGGAAGAAGGCATCTAACTGGTAGAGTCCCATCTCTGTTCTTTTGTAACCAGCAGTGCAACATGGAATTTTAGAAGTTGGAGTTTTTTTTTTTTTTTCTTTTAGAGAAAAGCAGCTTCTGTAAGCTTCCTCCTCTGAGCACATGTCCGACACCTCCTCCTCCCCGGCCCAGATGAAGTGATAGAACATGCAGACCCAGGAGGCTGGAGTAGCTTTCCTTTCCACAAGAAAAAGCAGATGAGCTGAAGGTGGCAGAGGGGATAAAATATCCTCCCTCTGTTCTCCTTCTTCCCTTTGTTCCTTACAGTAAGCACCCATGCCCACTTGAATATGGGGAGATGGGAGTTTGAGGCAAACACGCCTCTCCACCTCCTTGGAGCTAGCTTCAGATAAATTCCATCTTTGGTCTTTATCAGAACCAGTGCTCTCCTTTGAGGAACACAGCACTGAGCATAGGAACCTAACTGACTGACTAGCAATGCTTTTATTTAACTTGAAAATTTGCATAAAATATTGTTTGTTCCCATGTTATCACGGCCTGAAAGTGATGTGTGAATGAAAGAAGCAATTTGAAAAACTGACATATCATTAGGAAAACTTTTATTAGTTCTTTTCCAGGCTTCTTTATCTGCACACTTCAGCAAGCTAGTGGGTTAGCACAGGGGTACAGTGATGGCTCATTTCTTCTCCCAGGGAGCAGTATCACCTGGGGCAGGAATTGAGATGGAAATGTGACAACAGAGACTGATGGAATGAGAGGGGCATTGTGCAGATTCAGGGTTCCTGGAAGAACGTTACCTGAGGTGAAAAAACAGATACTTCAGAAGTTCAAGGAAAGCATCTAGACTTGGACAGAAATCAGCACTTTGCTGAAGAAGTTTGTTTAACCAGATGATTGGTTTGGATTCTTAGAAACCCGGGGAGAGTTAGAAGACTGTGACTTCTCCTTTGGCTGGGATTAATTACTCATGTGACCTTGGCCAAAATCTCTCCTCCTTTGCAGATTTATATAGTAAAATGGTTAACTGATCTAGAATAAAAGCATAATATATCTGTGTTTGCTGTAAGCTTAAATTTATAGCATTTTATTTAATGCAGATCAATACAGAGCGCTGAAAATTCTAAAATATTCAATACGTTTCCTCCAAAGTACTTATTTCAGATTGAACTATTCATTCCTCAACAGTCTTAGCTCCTAGTACAGCTGTATATAGACACAAGGTGATTCAAGTTAAATGAAGTTATAGGAGTAGGACCAGGTCTTACAGGGTAGTGTCAAAAGTAAATAAGAAAAGCATGAGATAACAGGACACCTGTTCAACTCACTCTCTCCCTTCTCCTCCTCCTCCTCTTTCCTTCCTCCTCCTTCCTGTCTCTTTCTTTTCCCATTCTCCTCCTCCTTCTCTCTCTCTTCTCTCTCTCTCCCTCTCTTCCTCTCTCCTCTTCTTGTTTCCCTCTCTCCCTGCAAAGAGAACACCGGAAAAAGGTGACCTCTTACAAGTTAGGAATAAAGGCCTAACCAGACACCAATTTCCTGGCATCTTGTCCTTAGACTACCCCCAGCAGAATCAGAAAACAAATTTGTCTTGCATAAGCCCCCAACCTACAGTATTTTATCTCTACTGCCTGACACATCAACTCAGGCATTAGTTCTTTAGCTACAAGTCAACATGTTAACACATTTAAAGGTCATCCATGATCAAACCTACTTATCTGCTATCCTATCCTCATCTGTAACTATCCCTGATACTCTTTACAATGCTTAACTCAGAAATACCAAGTTGTTTACATACTAAATTGTCCATGTCTGTTCCCTTACATAAGCTGTTGCTTATGGACTGGATGCTTTGAAAAATATGGAACACGGTATACTTTCCTGTAAGTCATGGACCTCTTTTCTTATTAAATTCATGATGGAGCCTGTTACCCAAATCCTCTCCATATCTAGCTCTGTCTTCAGAAGTAGAGATAACAATATTTTGCAGAGTTTTTCTAGCCAATCTTGCTACCACATAAACTGTAATGCTTTTGTACCTTGTGATGATAAAAGTTTATTACTTACACACATCATGTACTTTTATCTGTGGGTCAGATGAGGTTCTGTGTGGCTCTGTTTCTTAAGTCTTCTTATACTAGTGCCTGCACTGAATGAGCAGGGGCAATACTGGACACATCTATTCTCCTTGCCAAAAGGAGGACCATCAAACCAACTAAAGCATAGTAGTGCTCTTGCTTGGAATGTTTTAGTCAGTCTGTACACATTCCATTGTCCAATACAAGTCCCACATCTAAACTCAGTGTCGAAGTGTGGACAGGTAAGGTGAATGTCCAAAAAAGCAGGACAAGATGCAGAGCAGAGGGCTGGAATGTACAGGGCACTGAGAAGGCGGAGAGAATAACTATACTATTTTGTGGGACTCTTACAAGGATTGCCATCTTTAGCATTTATGGTGTGAAACGATTTTAGTTAAACATCACATCAGATGTTATCCCTTGCTAGAAGTCCTTTTTGACACCTCTTCACCTACCCACAGTCCCTAAAATAATCCATCCTCCTCCCTATACCAAAGTAAAGCATATTGCTTTGCAGTTACCTTCTATCCACGTTTCACTTCTTTCTCCTTAGGGAGAGACTCCTGTTATTCACCAAGTCAATCCACAGTTAAGTGTTCCCTAAGTGGGGGGAAAGGAGAAGGAAGAGACAGGATCTTCACGAGACTGTGATTGTTGGTTTTCATTGTTTGTTTGGTTGTTTTGGGACTCACACATTTCTTGAGTGTCTGGGTGTGTCATGGAGGGGCGGTATTGGGTACTACACTTAGTCCTTTATCTCATGTTCTCTTGTACAGTTCCCTTGCTCGGCTCCCTGGTCACCATGAACTAAGCACCATTGCTCTAACACTCCCTTATGCCATGATATTTCTGCCTTGGACCGAGCTAACTATGTACTGAAACTCCCTACACTGTCAAACAGATTAAACTTCTCCTCTTCTAATTTGTGGGTGTCAGGTATTGTGTCCTAGTAACAGAAAAGCTGACTGACACAGGGACCCTCAAGCAAGCACATGCATGTTCCAATTACAACACTGTGAGTGTAACTGTGGAGTTTGTACAAATCAGTAGGTAATGATCCATTAATTGTATTGACTCTATGTTAGCTGATTCAACTTTACCTTTTAGGATGGAGAGGTCCTTTTTAAGAGTCCTTATAACTTACCAAATGCTTTTATTAGGACATGCTTGCATGCATAGTGACTATATTCATCATGGGGAGTTGGTACTTGCACAACTTAATTCACTTCCCCTCTTTCCCCAACCCCCTCTCTCCATCTCTAGATCTCTTCCCTACTTGATAAAGCTCTATCGCTCTGATTCTTATTATCTAGCCTTTATTTTGCTCCTTGATTTATACTTTGGGCTTATCACATAAGAAAAACCATCCCACATGTATGCCTGTGTGTCTAATTTATTTCACTTAACGCTGTGATTGTTTACACTTTGTCTCATTCTTGGTACCAAAAGACAGCTCCTGAGTACTTTTTAAACGACAAGCAGTGCAGCAGTCTCTCAAGACTTAAGCGTCAAAAGCAGGAAATGGAAATGTATGCAGCAAGCTGTATAAAAATGTGAGAGTTGACTTCAGAAGACTTGGTGGTCTTGGTGAAGCTGTGGGTACACGTGCTAGGGGAACGGATGACCCATTTCAAGAAAGTCCTAGCAGAAAACAAAGCACAAGACCAGAGCATGTGCGGCCTTTCCTCTCACAAAGACGCCAGGGATGCTACACTAACGCAAGATACAGCAGTGACTACTAAGTACTTTCCTCAACAAGTCTTTTTTAATGAATAGATAACTCTGATAAGTAAATTAGTCCATAAATCAAGTATACTAAGCAGAAGATGTTTCTGGTGTTGTTGAGACAGCAGTGAAGACCCTGGAGACCAAATCACTAATTCCAGCTATCAGTCTAGGTGACAGTTGATAAAAAAGACCACCATCCTGCTGGGCACCTAATGATGGTACATTGCCTTCACTTAATCACCACTGCAAACCAGGGGTTAACTCAGTAGATATTTCCCTGTTACTAATGAGGAGACTAAGGTTTTTAAAATGTCAAGTAGCTAAGATCAAATAGCTAACAAGTGGTGGTAGCTAATTTGGCAGACTGGCAGTGGGATTTTTCAGCATGTGCCTTTAGCCACTGTGTCTCCCAGGTGCACAGCCTTTCAACACTACTTGATAAGGAAACCCACAGGAGCTGGCTGAGGCCCCAAGACTCCATCGGCCCTGCTGCCAGCTCTGACACCTGCGTGATTCAGATGTGGACCCACCCCCTGGGCTCTCCACTCCATCCAATGAGGTTAGAGCAAGCTTAGGGCTTTCAGCTTTTCCCACTTCCTGCAGCTGATGAGGGGGCACGCCCACCCAAGTCATGTATCAGGCTGGCAGCAGGTTGTCCACAGGCAGGGACATGAAGCTGCAGCCATTGCACTCGCTGAGACATCTGGAAAAGCCACATGTGTCAGGTTTTGAAATTTTTTAGGTTTTTTTTTTTTAAATCGGTATGGAGGATGAACTGACCACGCACTTGCAAGACAGGAGCTTATGCCACTGAGCTAAATCACCAGCTAGTTTTTATTTTGTTAACCACCTATTTTTATTTACTTACTGAACTCAAGGTCTTGAGAGTAAGCTATAGTCCCAGACCTTTAATTTTTTTCTTTCTTTAAGTTGCCTAAGCTGGTTTGTACTTGAAATCCTCCTTTTTCAGCCTCCCAGAGCTAGAATGACAGGTGAGGCCACCACACTTATGACACATGTGTTTTGTTATGTTTCTCTGAGACGCTTATACCTCCACAACTCTTGGGTTGGAATTTATTTAAGACATTTTAGCTTCAGCCTGGCAAGCATGAGGTCATGAGTTCAAGTCCTGGGACCAGAAAAAAAGACCTTTTAGCTCCAATATTTCATGACTACTATATTTTTCTGAGTGTAGTATTTAGGCATTAAAAAATTATAGATAACATCAAAGGTGAATTTTCAAACACTTGTGATTTCATCAATGAATCTCTCTAGTTTCAAATACCCTGATAAAATAAGGTTAAATAAAAATAAATGGTTTGGAATGCATAGGGTATGGTGAAACTCCTACCAATGTTGTTTCCCCTCACCTTCTAATAACTTTGTTCAAATAAGCAGTTTATAGGGACTTAGAAACTTAATAAATAGGTCTAATCTGTACTCGGTATTCTAGTGTTAAGAAAACTATGAGCTTCTTAACCTTCATTGACAAAAAGAAAAAAAAAAAAAAACAGAGTTAACACTTTAAACCTACTTCATCCTTCCTAAAGTTTTTCTTCCTATGTTAGGGATGAAACAGGTGATAATTTTGAGTTAAACCAAATTAATCCAATTTTCTTTTGAGTTAAGCTCAACAATCCCTGCGTTAGAATTTCTCTAAGGCATTTAGCCTGACCTACTTTATGAATTTAGATGATAGAGCCATGGATGAGCATAAATACATGTATTTAACATTCACTGACTCCAGATTCATGGCAAACCTTGTGTTTTAAGACCAAGACAAGCAAAGGGAATGAACGAGTTATTTCAAGCTTGAAATCTAAAAGAGGCGCCAAAGAAATCATGACAAATAATTGTACAGTTTTAAAAAATCAAAACAATACCAGAAGTCTGTGGGAGCAATTTACTAGGAGTTTAAAGACTGGTCAGTGCAGTCTTACTGAATTTTCCTTTTTTCCCTGGTTCTAATTTGACTCAGTACAGCACTGCCCTGCTACTGTTACTCAGCTCTCTCAGCAGCCGTCCACACTGTACAGAGGAGGAAACCATGTCTCAAAGATTTTCTTAGTGTTCTAGAAATCACCATCAGAAAAACTAACTTGGTTTGGGGTATATTTCCTGTACTCCGTGGGTAATTCTCTCTCTCAGTTTTTTTGGTTTAGCACAGAAATCTATGGGATGAATTGTTCACTAATTTAATCTATATTTTTATACCCTGGGCAAAACATGTTGCTGTTATGTCAAGGAATGGACATTTTATTTGAGTTATCTGCCCCAAAACACAAAAAAGAGAAATGTAACACAACCCCCCCCCCACTCTCTCTCTGTCTTTGAGACAGGGTCTCACTATGCAGTTGAGGCTGGATGTGGGCTTACTTTATAGCCCAGGCTGGTCTCAAATTTGCAAACAACTCTCCTGCCTCAGCCTCCTAAGTGCTAGATTGCAGGAGTGCCTGGCTACACAGCATAATTCTGTCATAGTAAAAAGCAGAATTTTAACAAGGTCTGGTAGCACATGCCTGTAATCCCAATACTCTTTGAGGCTGAGTTGGGAGTACCATAAATTCATGTCTGGGCTGGTTAACTTAATAACTTAGCGAAGTCCTGTCTTATAGCAAAAACAACTTAAAAAGTAGGCTGAGGATGTAGCTCAATGAGAAGGCAGTGGGTTCCATTCTGAGGAGCACCAACAAATAAATAATAAATACCCAGAATTTTCCTGTGCTAACGATGCAGAGAGCCTCACCTGGAAGCAGAAAGTAATTCTGTGGATGGACACAGTAGGACAGCCTGAGGAACAGCAGAAAATCTGTGGTGACTCCTGGTCTTCCTGACCCAAGGACTTCATGCCTGATCAGTGATTCCAAGACTCAGAGTGAGAAAACTATGAGTTAGATTTTCAAGATTTCCAAAATTAGCAGTAGAAATGCTTACTAGAAAACTACTCTAGAAAAGCAGGTGAGATAAAGAGTCTGGTGTTTCAAGGCAAGGGCCTTCACTACGGTAACAGAAAAGCAGGAATTTGCTTATCTCCAGTAGAGAAGCAGAGACTGGTGACTGTGACGCTTAGGACATAGGAGAGCAAATATCCTGGAGGTATGTGGTATGATAGTGATCATTTGACTAAGCAGAAGCATGGCTATACCCAGAGGGTAGTGCACCGCATTCTCATGCTTCCCAGCTCACTCAGCCAGAGGAAGGTGAGGCCATGACCACAGTCCCTAGGTTTCTGTCCATATACAGTGTATATCTCTTAGCATAAAAATGTTCCTTAATGCAGACATCACATATGTTGTGAATCTGCTGAGTTTCACTATTGTAACCTTCTCCCAGCAGAAGCCTCAAAATATTGCTTGACTTCCATAGAATAAACCTGACCATTCTGAGAAACACGCATTCCTTTTACCTAGGAGATGCACTCTGTAGTTTTACTTATTTTTTTGAGGTAGAATATATCTTGATATCTTGACTAGGCAAGGATTCTCTTGCTTTAGCATCCCAGAGTCACCATACCCATCTGTGCTCTCTCTCTCTCTCTCTCTCTCTCTCTCTCTCTCTCTCTCTCTCTCTCTTTCTCTCTCTCCACAAGGCAGTGCCCTAGCTCCTTGTCTAATTCATCCCTTACTTTATACTTATTTTCATTCCTTGCCCCAGCAATGGAAAAGAAGAGGCCACTTCTTGTGAAAAGCTAAAATTATTTCAGACCTCTGTTTTTAGTTCCCATGGGCCTGCTAGGTGGCATTTTCGTGGTTTCTCTGAGTCAGGACAGGTGGCAGCTGAGAAATGTGAGTACTTCTTCAAGATCTGTGGGTTTCAAGGAAGTTTTCCTAATGCTCATCTTCACTAGGGAATACTACACATCCCCTTCGGAGCACCGTCAATCTCCTGCACCTCCATCCCATGCCAAGCACCTGCCCTTCCTTTGGAGGCTACTGTTCCCTCACCTGACGAGTGAAATCTCCATCCCAGGCATATTTCTGTGGCACAGTATTTGTCCTCTGGGTCAGAGTGCCCCTGAAATAATGATACTCGTATGTCTTTTCTCTTTTTAATTTTGTCATCATTTTTTCTCCCCCCCCCCACTACCTCCTCTTCCCATCTGAATATTTTCTTACTATTGTACAACATTTATTATACATTTTGGTCATTACTTACACTCTCAGTTTCTCATATGAGAGAAACAATGCAGTATTTACACGTGTCTGATTTATTCACTTCAGAAAATGGCCTCAAGGTGCATCCACTTAGCTTATGATTCTTTATGGCAGAGTAGCACTCTATTGTATAGAAAAGCACATCTTCTTTATCGATTCATCAGTGATGGGCTGCTTCCAAGACTTAGCTATTACAAACTCTGCTGCTATAAACATGGGTGTGCACATGTCGCTGTTGTATGATGCTTTTAATTCTTTGGGGAAGATGCCAAGATAACTAGGTTTAATGGAACCTCTACTACTAGGTTTTTGAAGAATTTCCACACTGACTTTCACAGTGATTACGCCAGTTTACACTATCACTAACAATGGAGAAGGGTTCCTTTTTCTCCACAGACTGGTCAGCATTTTTTGCTGGTTGATTTCTTGATGATAGCCATCCTTTCTGGGTTGAGATGAAATCCTAGCATTCTGCTGATTTGCATTTCTTGAATGACTAATGATGTCAGACATTTTTCATACATTAATTTGCCATTTCTTCTTCTTCATCTGAGAAGTGTCTATTTGTTTCAGAAACCCATTTTTGGAATGTTTTTTGAAATTTGGTTGGTCTGACATGTTTAAGTTCTTTATATATCCTAGATAGTCTGAGGAACAACTGGCAAAAGATTTTTTCCCACACTGTAGTCTGTCTCTTCACTCTGATGGTAGTTTCTCTTTCTGTGCAAAAGCTTTTTAATAAGATGAAATCCTAGTTGTTGATTCTTTGTGATAGCTCCTATGTGATCAGGGTTTTGTTCATAAAGTCATTGCCTACATCTATGTCTTCAACAGTTTACTTATTCTATCTTCAAGCAGATTTAACACGTCTGCTTTAATATTTGATCCATTTTGACCATACTGATTATAATGAATCTCATGTGATTCATTATTAGTACATAGTGAAAGATATGGGTCTAGTTTTAATCTTTGGCATGTGCAAAGTCAGTTTTTCCAGCACCATTTACAAAAGAGGCTATCTCTCTCCCAGTGAACATGTTTGGCCCATTTTTCAAAGATAAGGTGGCTAAAGGTATCTGTAGTTGTTTCTGCATCCTCTAATCTGTTCCATTGTTCCTCAGGTCCGGTGCTTTGTTTTGTTGAGGTTTGTTTTTAGTATTTTGGGTTTTTTGTTTGTTTGTTTGTTATTTTGCCAGTAACATAATGTTTTTGTCACAGTAACTTTGCAGTATAATTTGGAGTCATAGATTGTGATGCCTCTCACTTTGCCTTTGTTGCCCAGAATTGTCTTCACTATTCTGGGTCTCTTCTGGTTCCAAATTAATTTTAAGATTGTTTCCTCTAATTCTGTGAAATATGTTGTTGGAATTTTGATTTGAATTACATTAAAGCTGTATAACACTTTTGAATGTATGGCAATTTTCACCATATTGGCTCTTCTTACCTAAGAGCAAGGAATATCTCTCCATTCAATCTCCTTTTTTAGAGTACTGTAGTTTTCAGTATAGCAGTATTAGGTCATCTCCAAATACCTGCATAAGTCAACAGTGAAACTATAATCGTATGGGCTTTCTTTTTGGTGAGCTTTTAATTACATCTTCTATTTAATTGACTGGCATTGCTTAATTTACAATTTTTATACCTTTTTGATTCAGCTTTGATAATTCATGTGTATCTATGAATGTGTCAACGTCTTTTGCATTTTCCATCCTATTAGAATACAAATTCTCAAAGTAGGTAAAGCTGATGTTCTGGATTTCTACAAGATCTGTTGTGATTTAGCCCTTTTTATTCCTAATTGCACGGGTCTGAGTTTTCCTCCTTTTTTTAAGGCTGGCTAAGTGTTCATCAATTATATTTAAACTTTCAAAGAATCAACTCATCGATTCACTGATTCTTTGTATTGTTTTCTTAGTTTCCATTGCATTAATATTTTCTTTTTCTAGAAGATTAAGTTTCAAATTATATTGTTTATTTGAGCTTACTCTTTTCCTGATATGGGTATTATAAATTTCTCTTGTAGGAATGAATTTCTTTTTAAATTAAATGTGCTTCTGCTTGCAGCATTCCATTGGATCTTGTTTCTTGGTCCATTTTGCCAGTCTGTATCTTTTGATTGGTGAATAGACACCATTAAAGTGGATGGTTGTAACTGATATGTATTGACTTACGTTTGTCATGTTATTTATATTGTTTGCTTTGCCTGGTGGATTCATTCTGTTGGGCTTCATTGGGTTGCAATCCTTGTCATCTCTTTCTACAATGTCCTTCAAAACACTTCAAAGTGCTGGTTTGCTGTTCATGAATTTCTTCAGGTGTTCTTTGTCATGGAAGTATCTCATTTGTTCATTGATTTTGAAAGACTATTTTGCAGGGTATATAAATCTGAGTTGGAGTTTGTTTTTTTTTTTGTTTTTTGTTTTTTTTTTTTAGAACTTGAAACACTTCACTCCAAACTCTCCTTGACTTGAGGACTTCTACTATGATTTATATGGGCTTTCTTTGTGAGTTGTTTCTTTCCTCTACAGCTTTCAATATTCTATTTTTATGTTGAATTTCTGAAATTTTGACTATTATGTGACTTTCTATAGATTTTTTTGAACATGCTAATTGTAGTTCTATTTATGCCTGATTTATCTACATATCAAATTCTTTTCCCTGTCAGGGTAGTTTTGGCCATAATATATGTGAACAGGTTTATTTATGTCATTTTCATTATCTAATGCTTTTTACTGATTCCAATTAATCTTATTTTATTCATCTTTGCATCCTCTAGCAGCTGCTAGATTAATGTCTTGCAGTCCCTTACTGTCTTTAAGAAATCTTACTTTTCATGGTCTCTAACCACAATCCCATCTTCTATCTCTGAGATTCTGTCTTCACATTGGCTCATCCTGCTACCTATATTTTCAAAGGAATTTTTAATCTCTTGGGTATCTGTTTGAGTCTGTTTTTCTGATCCCATTTCTTTCCTATGTTGGGCATTCATAGTTTGAATTATTTTTTAAGCTTTTCTATTTTTTATCTGCCTCTGATCTAGAGAAACTAAGCATGTCTTTCATTATGGTCACTGTCTCCATAGTTAGCTGATAAACTCTTTCTCATTTGTTTCTTTTCTAGAGCCTTATTCATTTACTTTATTGTTACCCCTTCAGAGAGTGCAGGCAGCAGCTTTTTGACAGTTTCACCTCCTTGCACCCTGGGTTTGCCTTTGGTGAGCTGGCTCTCTGGGGTTGCATCTTGTTTAGTGTCTTCTCATTTTGTATATTATCTTAGTTTAATTCCCTGGTTGATGCTTGAAAATTGCCTGTGATGAGTAGCATTATTGCTAGTATATGGAACCTTTAGGGAATTACTATTTTCACAAGTGTCTTCCAGGTATAACTAGCTATTGGATTTTGAGTCTGTTGCAAGATCTATCCCTCTTCAATTTACTAGGGGTGATAAGTTGCCACCTAATTGGCCCAGCCCTTTGTTCTCTGTCACTGGCCTATAGTATTATTTATGACCCTTAGGCAATTTCAGCTTGGTGTACCAGGAAGCTGGTTAGAACAGTGTCACCTTGGCAAAAGTGGTACAGTCAGCAATAACAATAGTTTCAAACACAGCCTAGATAATAAATTGAGGTGACTATTAATTTGCCACCTTTAACAGCATGAGGTAGATTTCCAGTTATATAACAAGATCTAAATCAAATCAGAAAATTGTACAATAAGTAAGTCTTTGGTATGTCAATTTTACCCTCAGGGGAGAAAATTTATAAGATGTTAAGGGGAAAATAGAGAACAGAAGAAAAAGGAGAGATTAAAGCATGACAGAAGTACAAAAGAGGATCATGCAAACTTTGGGCAACTGGTGCAGAAGATAGGGAGGTAAGAGAAAAGGAAGAAATAATAATATTAAAGGAAGAAATAATAATAAAAGGAAGAAGAAGCAGAGCAACAACACTAGAAACCATGTTCACACTTACAACAAGAACAATGAAGAAAAAAACAAAAAAAGCAAACAATCAGAAATACAAGAAAGAAAAAAAGAAAAGAAAAAAGTCTACTTTATGATGCAGCTCTGCTGCTACTGGTTGACAGTGTATGAAGATTTCATATCCATGTCAGTCAGTCCTTGCAAGCCAGGAACAGCTCCACGGTGAAGTAGAGGATAATCCCAGTGATCCTGCATCTCTATTTCCATTGAAGTTTAAACTGGTCTTCAGCTGCGAGACTGGGACCAGACCCACCCAACTAACAACAGTTTCCAGGTCCCTGTGGTTTTGAACTGGGCTGAGTGCCTCTAGATGGAACAAGCAGTCACTCTGAGTCCTGAGCTCAGTTGGCCTTCCTCCAAAACAGCTCCTGGCCCATCACCATCTCTTACAGGATGTCCCAGTGTGAAAACTCACTACCGGCCACTGCAGTCTACTGCAGTTCGTGGATCTGCTCCACTGCCGTGCTTGTCTGTGGAGGCTCCTGGGGTTGCCTGTAGTCACTCTGCACCTGCAGGTTTGAGCAGCCCCTCCTGTGAGGTAAGTCAGAGTTCAGGGAGAAAGCTCCACTCGCCTCCTCCTTCTCCTTTGCTGGTTTCTCTCTTTACTCTCCCCTTGGGCTTCAGTCTCTCCTCAGGTCCTTCCTGGGTTCTGGGAACTATTACCTTCTTTCTTCTCTTCTTCATGTTGCTATATTCCAGGGTCCAGACATGAAATTTCAGAGTCTCCTTCTCTCCTGCTCACTGCTCTGCCATCTTACTGGAAGTCTCTGAGCCTTGTATTTCTCTACAATCTCTCCAGCATTTGTTGCTTTTGAAACCTTGGTAACAATATCTATTGCCCCTGAGTAAGAAAAACCAATGTTGTCACACTGGTGTTACTTTCCAAACTCCTAGGTAGACTTAAGGCAATCCCAATCAAAATACTTG